GGTTTCTCAGGACTGAAGGGGATTATTGGGTGAGGGGGGATGCGGGGGGGGTGAGAGAAGAGACCCAGACCACCAGATAAGGCTCGTGCGGGTCTCGATCGTTGAATTCACAGGGCTACGTCAGGCGAGCCCAAGAAACTTCGCCTCCCAATTTGTTACACAAGCTCCACCTTCTGGACCGAGGGAAATGCCCTACATTTGTTTAGAATAAACCTATAATGGAAAAATTGAAATTAAAAGTAACATTGAAAAGAGGGTAGCCCTGTGAGATGGAGGGAACTACATAGGAGGAATTTGACCTAGGCTTACTACAACGCTAACAAAAATTGACAATCTTAAGCTCTAAGAGTCGTTAGAGGTACAAGTAATAAGACCCTCTTGTATACATGATATCATTTTGTGTTATGCCCGGCAATCTTATCTTCATTAAATTCATAGGCAGCATCGTTATGAATTAAATGAGGATTATGTCTCAGCAGCCACCAATAGCACTGCATTCTCTATCCTGGTATTCTTTGCTATCTTAATCAGAAACCGGTACTATTCCCAGGTGTGCTTTCACAACTACTGTTCTGGATTAAAATTTTGCCTTTGCTTGAGTCACTTTAGCTAACCCAACTGTTGAGGGTAAAGTTTAACCACTCATTGAATCTGAGACAATGTATGTCCTCAGGATATCACTTTTTTTAAGCTGAGATGTGTTTGTATTATCAAATCAGAGGCTTTGAAAAATTTCATTCACACCCTCCTTATGACCTTCTTGGCCCAAACCTTGGCAGGAGAATAGACTGCTTAATGCATTAGGGACCTTCAATCAAGGTGAAATGTCTCAAAATAGCACCTCTCTTACTATTTTAAGCAAAATACGCTCAGCAAAATTGCCTCAGTATTGAGCTGCCACTGGTATTATTCAACCTATTAAAAGATTACCCAGTTATGAAGTCAAAGAACCCTACTGCCCTACTGTTGGTGTAATATACTGGGCATCAATTACTATATCAATTATTTTTACTTACATTAATATCTCTCCCTCTCTCAAAGACGTATATGGTTCTTCCCCATTCATGTATCCATCCCAACAATCTACAAAGCAGGTTAGTCTGGCAGGCAAAGGTCAAAACTCAAAGGAGAGTTTCATGACTTAATTGATTTGAAATAGGTCTCTCTCTTGTCCTCAACCCCCTATACCAGATTGACAAACATAACGGCTGAAATCCTATTGCTTAGCAGTAGTAAGTCATCCTATAGTAGGGCCATTGAATCAGCTGGGATTTGGTGAATCTACTGCTCTGTAAATTCCGTTGATTCAAATGGTCCTACTCTAATCACAATCTAATAATCTATCACATTGTGGTGTGGCAAAAAAAAACAAAACTGAATTGCCCATAGTAGATCCTTTTCCTTGTCTGTGAGCTGAAATAATGCCACTGCCCCTTCCCTTTGCCTATTGAATAGGCAGTGACAGAGGCACCGTGGGTTTGGAAGCTTCAGGAGTTAAAACCTGGCCCCTGCCTGGACTGTGAGACTCAGTGTGTGCTAGACAATATTGACTCCTGGCTCCTGGCACTGTATGTGAACAAAACACGGGAGGCAGGCGGGAGGCATAATGGCTGAGGCAAAAGCCACAGAGCATGCTAAGGACTCACCTCATTGGGTTTTCCCAGTGCACCCATTTCTAAGTATATTTATTTCCTTAAATATACTTAGAATAGTAAATAGTGAAAGGGTCACTATTTACTCCTAGGGGAAGGAAAAGAAAAAAGGAGGCATACTGAAGATAATGCTATGATAAAAAGAAACATCCTTCTCCAAAAACAGTAATTGCTCAGCCTCTCAGTGATTCTGCAGGGGTGTACTTCTTATTTCAAATGTCTTTGCAAGCCTTTGGACACAGACCACACATACATTATAGCAAATAATGACTAACATTTTGTTAATTCCAGTAATTAAGCAGTATGTGTAAAGACTGCCAGAGAGGCTTTGGAGACTGCACTTGTCTCTAACAGAGCTACAGCTGGGGAAGAGCTGCAGCTGTAGTTCTTTATGGACAGTTCCTCCCTCTCTTATCTTGTTGCATTCTCTGAGATAACACAAGAAACTTGTTTACTCCAGTAAATGACATAGAGAAGATGAGTAGATAGGGCTAGCAGGAAGGCAAAAGGAACTACAGTTGGATCTTTGTTCACAGCAGCAGTCCATTAAAAGTCTTTGGGTTGCCACAAACTTGGCCAGCTCCTGATCTGGGTACCTATAGATTTCCTCAATCAGATCTAGGCAAAACATGCCTAGGAAAAGGGCTGTGGTGATCTGCTGTGGTTGAATGGAGTTGGGAGAGGGGTGTCATCTACATCAGGGGTCCGCACCCCTCCAGTCAGTGGCCCAGTGCCAGTCCATGGGTTTGCTGGAACTGGATCGTGGAGACAGATCTCTGCCTCCCCACCCACATGTGGGGGCGTGTCACACTCACAGGGGTGTTGCACTTGAGCACAACACCCCCCGCACATGGAGCCCCCCAACTGATCCACGGTCCCAAAAAGGTTGGGGACTGCTGATCTATATAATGTATCTCCTCATGTCATGAGTCTGCACAACTGGAGGAAAATATAATCAGCAACAGACCAAGAAACTGTAACATATCTGCAAAGTGTAGTAGGCATTTGTATCTGTGAAGTTTGGTATTTCACCTGCTCAATGCCACAAGAAGTTTCTTCATACTCCAACAACTTCGTTACATTTCCCTCCTTGTTTTTTGGAACCTCGGTAAAAGGAATTAGCTCTTTTAAAATAAATAGCTAAAGGTGCAGTTGGACTGAGCTAGTCTGAGCTGTTTAGAATGCCTGGCCTTGATTTGAGCAATCCAATCAACTCCTGATGTTCACACAGGAATTGCACCTGCAGCCTGTATGGCTGTCATCTAGTATTACTATAGATCACTCTGTTTCAGTTTGTTTGGTTCCAATGTGCCTCTCCTCTTCTCCCTTCCTGCTTCCTGTTTCTCTTTTGCAGCTGGCTGGGAAAAAGACTGTTTCCATTTGTTTGCAGGTGGGCAGAAATACTGGGTTTTTTTATGTACATGAAGTGGGGGGAGGTTTATGGAGTAGCATATTTCTTCCCTGTCTCTTCTTTTCTCCCTTTTTCTAAAAAGAAAATACAGTATATTTTTGGTAAGTGGTGTAGCATTGCACTGTTTCATCACTGAAAACTCCAGTGACCCTTTGACTGTCTTCATTCTGAAAAGCACTTCGGTCCTAAGAAAATAAATATTACTGCCTACTGTACTATTGTGCTATTTAGTTGTTTTGCAGCTGTGTTTCAACAGGATTGAAAACTGGCCTTATTTGGAGTGATCCTAATTACTCCGGATAAACAGGAGACTCTCTCCTAGATCAATCTGGGACAATCTAGTTCCCAGTATGGACAGGCTGGGTCACTCTAACAAGTATGTAGTGTTGTTGACATTTTTAAGAGGGTCCCTAACCATTCCGGCAGGGAGCTACAGCACAGGATAAGCTCCCGTGTAGCTGGCCTCTAAGTGTCAAAGTTTAGACTGCCATGTCTAAGTGAGTTTTTCATGAGGAGAGAAGAAAGAGTTCCATGAGAAAGAGGAAGTCTCTTTTCAGGATTGTTCTTTATAAGAACAGATAGTAAGCACAGTCAGCAGTACAAATAATATTTTAAAAGCTGGTGAGACAGGAGAAGAGGAAACCATGTAAGCAGGAGGGTCTGTGGAGCAGGGGAGTGATAAGAAGCAAACGAAGGCAAGGAAAGTTAAGGACATATGTAGTATGTACATGGAAATAACATTATATTAAGTAAATATGGGACAAGAAAGCAATAACAGCAAAGGAGCAAATTCAGTCTCCAAATATGTTTATCTGCAAAATAGACATGAAATGGTGAGGTGTAGGTTTTCAGCTCCAGTTCCTTAAAACATGTAAGTTTAGCTCTTCCCCACCAGAAAATCTATGGTAAGAATCATTAAATTCCTATGAAAATGCCACCAAAAGTGCCTTAAGGTGCCATTAAAAAGTAACATTTGAAATAACAAAGTGTTACATCTGAAAGACAGATGCTAACTTCAGTACTTAAATATTGCTCATTATCCTTAAAATTAATTTTGTAATTGTTAATTACCACTAATTATTATCCCTAATAAACTAATGTTAATTTTATCTAGTTACTTCCAAGCTTTACAGCTTTACAATACAGTGGTCAGAATCTTTGCTAGTCTGGGCAAATGGGTTCATCTTATACAGTTCCTCAAAGACCTTCATTGACTGCCTATTTAATTCTGAATGCAGTTCAGGGTTTTGACATTTACCACTAAGTTCCTTGGCACTCAATATTCTGTTCCCTGAAGAAGCACCCTTCCCTGATTGTGTCTTAAATTTTTCAGAGAAGGCCCTCCTCTAGCTTTCTTTATTAGATAAACTAAATTTACAGAAAGAAGACAGAGGGCCTTCTCGGTGGTGGGACCCCCTCTTCTGAGTGCTCTGCTCACAGAAACCTGAGTGGCACTGATGCTATCATCCTGATGCCAGTTTAACACATAGTGTGAGGGGGTTGCTTAAAAGGGTGCTCCCAGTGAGCTGTCTACTCCCAACCCATCCCCAGGAGTGTATGGTACTGCCAAGGCCCCAGGTGCCATGAGGGTTGGTGGGAGCAGGACCCAGGATGTCCAGACCCAAATAGTGGAAAAGGTACTGAAGGAAGGTAGGAGAGAAACGTAGCCCCATGAAGGAGATGGGGAGAAAAAAGAAGGAGCCCTAGAAGAAAAGGGGAAATAAGAGGGAGGTTTAGACACAAGGTCTATAAAATGGGCCTTGGAAGAAGTAGAGAGAGACTCAAGAGGGGAGAATATAAGTGTAAAGGAGGACCCTTCTCACTGTGAGGAAGAAGAGGCCTGGGGTGATGCACAGGAAAAGCTGGAGGTAGCCTGCAACACTGCAGAGACCCCTAAGCCTGAGGGAGACTGGAACTTCATATATAAAGACGAATCTTGGATGGGGTCCTTATCAAGCTGAGAATACCAATGGAGGAGGAGATTCCAGCACTCCAGAATCCCACACCGCCTGAGGTACTGGAGGAAATGTTAGCCCTGCCAGAGACAGTATCTTCAATCTGGGCCCAGGTCAGGAGAACAGACTCTGGTGCAGCCATGATACTGGAGAAGGAAATGGCAGAAGAGTGCCAGTGAGTTCAGCAGCAGAGGCAACAGCACTCCCAGAGCTGTACTCTACCTGTGGGTTAAGTGAGCACCACCTCTTGCCCATATTGCAGGCATCCCAGCCCTTGCTCCTTAGTGCTTCCAGTTTCAGCACCTCATGGCAGTCACCACTAAGAAGAGTGGATGGAGACCAGTGCTACCAACAAACCTATTGGTTGTCAGTTCAGGCCAAGTACCTGTTGCAGAGGTTGTTGAATACCCCCTCCCCCAAGTTTTAATAAGCTCATTTTAACTTAAAGTAGATCCATGTGTTGAGACCATGGATCCAGGAATGGAGGCGTAGCCATCCATCAAACAGGGCAGGTCAGCAGGTCTCACATAGAGGCATTTTAAGGTTTTAAAATTGGTTTCTGCATAGTCTGTGTTGCTGTTTTTATGCTTGGGATTTTACTCCTTTAAGATGTGTCACTGTTTCACATTTGTATCTATTGGGATGCACAGCACTTTTCATTAATAAATAAGGCGGATGAGAGTTCAAAACATGTTTTAAAATACTACCTGCTATTCAGCTATTTAAAACAAATTATATAAAAAAGTACACAGAAAGTATAGTTACATATTAATTCAAGGCTGATAATAGTCTGTGTTGCTGTTTTTATGCTTGGGATTTTACTCCTTTAAGATGTGTCACTGTTTCACATTTGTATCTATTGGGATGCACAGCACTTTTCATTAATAAATAAGGCGAATGAGAGTTCAAAACATGTTTTAAAATACTACCTGCTATTCAGCTATTTAAAACAAATTGTATATATAAAAAAGTACACAGAAAGTATAGTTACATATTAATTCAAGGCTGATAATTGTATTTATAGCCTTATGTTATATCTCCCTCTGCTGTGTTCACAGTATAACTACAAATGATTTCAGGTTTTGTGGGTATGCGAAAAGAGGGATTCTGAAACCTGACTGGCTGTTTTGCCAAGCACGTACCTTCTGTGTCTCATGGACATGGTAATAATTATTAAACTTCAGGAAGTCTGGTTCTGTTTGCTCATCCAAGACTAATAAAGAGAGGTTAATATGACTCCCTTCCCCCACACATTTTGGAAGAGAAAGGGAGGGAGACTGAAGGCTACCCTTCATGAATGACAACAACAAAAAGGCTTCCCATTCAGATAATGTAGAAAAGGACTTTCTATGCTCTGTGATGCATGAGTCCAGGACTCTTCCATATGAGAAGGGGATTCCTGATAGGTTGAGTCCTCCTTTATACAGAGGAGTCTGTGCATGCACATCAGAATACACTGAAAATCTTCTCCCATAGTACTGGAGCACATGCAGACAGACAGTGCACACATAAGTAGAGTGCAACAGCATTGGGCTGGGTTGCCATTGGACATGATGGGCCATAGTGTGCAGCCTTCAGCCCCCTCCATGTGGTGTTGTTTCAAAGTGGGATGGGTGGATGATAACCTTCCTTATGAAAGGTTAGATTTAACACACAGTAACATAACTTGCAACACAATGACCACATGCCAATCACTACCAATGTGTGTGTTACTATACAGTACATGCCAAGTCATTTTTGACATGCTGATTCCCCATAAGGTTTTCATGGTATGTAATATGTTCTACAAGTAATTTTCCATTGCCAGCCCCCAGTGAGGTTTCCAAGGCTGTTTGGCCTTTGGCTGTCACATGTATAATACTTATTCAACTCATTCATTTGAACTGACAAAAGATAGGGATCATGAACAAGCATATCTTTAGACTTGTACTTTAGAAACATCCAGAATAAAATAAATAAATAAAATAAATATTTTTAGACTTGTACTTTAGAAACATCCAGCTTCTTGTTGTTCTGTCATTTAGTCAGGTCCGACTCTTCATGACCCCATGGATCAGAGGATGCCACGCACTCCTGTCTTCCACTGCCTCCCAGAGTTGGGTCAAATTCATGTTGGTAGCTTCAATGACATTGTCCAACTATCTTGTTCTCTGCCTTACCCTTCTCCTCTTGCCCTCACACTTTCTCAACATCAGAGTCTTTTCCAGGGAGTCTTCTCTTCTCATGAGATGGTCAAAGTATTGGAGCCTCAGCTTCAGGATCTGTCCTTCCAGTGAGCACTCAGGGTTGATTTCCTTTAGAATGGATACGTTTGTTCTCCTTGCAGTCCAGGGGACTCTAAAACGTCTCTTCCAGCACCACAGTTCAAAAGCTTTCTTTATGGTCCAGCTCTCACTTCCATACATCGCTACTGGAAAAACCATAGCTTTGACTATGTGGACCTTTGTTGGCAAGGTGATGTCTCTGCCTTTTAAGATGCTGTCTAGGTTTGTCATCACTTTCCTCCCAAGAAGCAGGCGTCTTTTAATTTCATGGCTGCTGTCACCATCTGCAGTGATCATGGAGCCCAAGAAAGTAAAATCTGTCACTGCCTCCATATCTTCCCCCTCCTATTTGCCAGGAGGTAATGGGACCAGTGGCCATGATCTTAGGTTTTTTGATGTTGAGCTTCAGACAATTTTTGCGCTCTCCTCTTTCACCCTCATTACGAGGTTCTTTAATTCCTCCTCACTTTCTGCCATCAGAGTGGTATCATCTGCATATCTGAGGCTGTTGATATTTCTTCCGGCAATCTTGATTCCGGCTTGGGATTCCTCCAGTCCAGCCTTTCACATGATGTATTCTGCATATAAGTTAAATAAGTAGGGAGACAATATACAGCTTTGTCGTACTCCTTTCCCAAATTTGAACCAATCAGTTGTTCCATA